CCGCTCTCAGTGTCCACCCGTCGGGCAAACTGATGCTCTCCGTGTCCACCGATAAGACTCTTCGCACGTGGAATCTGATCAAAGGCCGGTGCGCTTACGTGACCAACATTAAGGCCGTCGCTCACATCGTCCAGTGGTCGCCCTCATCAGCGCTGTTCGCTGTGGTGATCGACAAACGCGTCGATATCTACGATATCGCCACCGGAGGTGTCGTTCACACCATTGATTACGGCAAACGAGTCAATAGTATTGTGTTTCTCAATGTGAGTGCCATTCAGTTGTTGTGATTAATGTCTGATTTGTTTGTCTCTTTGATTATCTCTGCGCATAGAATGATGTGATAGCCATCGGCGGTGACTCCAATGATATCCACTTGTATGACATACCGAACAAACACACTATTCATACGTTTACGGCTCACGAGAATCGGGTGAAAGCGTTGCAGAAGACGACAACACATCCGGATATTACTGGCGACAAAGTGTGGCTCATTTCGGTCTCGAGTGACAGCTATATTAAAGTCTGGGAACTGGACTTAACTGAGGTATCAGTGCCTTTGGCTGTCATTATAATTGTCACACCATTTAATACGTTAGAAATTAATGTCTGTTATGTTGTTCTTCAGCTGAAACGTGAGCCAAAACTGATCGCATCGGTGGACACGACGTGTCGGCCCACCTGTATGTCTGTCCGGACGTTCGTCGACAGCAACGCCGATGAGAATAGTAGCCAACCGTCGGCCACATTGACGGCCACCGCAGCGGATGTCGTGTCCGATGAGAACGCAAAGACATCGTCGAAGAAGAGGAAGAATAAGTCCAAAGAGAAAGCGAATAAAAAGGTTTAGATTATTATTGAAAGAGTAAAAAACTGCTAAATTAGTAAATTAACTTATTTTACACATTTTTAATATAATATTAAATTAATAATATAAATTAACATTATCAAAATGTTTACTAAATTTTCATTTTATAATACAAAAAATTAAACATTTTTTAATAAAAATAACTAATGTTTAATGATTTCTCATTTGATTATATAATTAAATAAATAAAATCTATAATTAAATGTTTACAATTAATTGTTATCCAACTCTTCAAACAGTGTTAACCGACTTTTGTAATCAAACTTTAATTTAATCTCATTTTCCAATGATTTCCACTCAATTAACTCTAGTATTGGATTAAAATCCATGTCTTCATACGATTGACGCGTGAATTTGATGGACACATCTCTGTCTCTGCCATACATTATGTCAAAAGTATTGTTCACTTCTTTGTCTGATATCTGACCAACATTTTCATCAATCACTTCTCTGTATTGTAATAGCATTTCGTGCAGTCTCTCGAAGACTGATCCAAATTCTTGTGTCTGATTACCACTGATTAGCGACGAAATCATTTCAATCTCCAGCTCTTCGTTGTTAAGTGAAGTGCTTTAGAGCCCAAAAGCCCGGAATTATAGCCCATATTTTACACACTTTACAAAGAGTGAAAGTTTTCACAGGGCTTTAGACTCCAGGTCAAATACCGTTATGAACGCTTAGCTGAGGTTTACGAACAGTAAGTTGGCGAAGCCATAGGTTTTCAATCGTTTCAATAGTAATGATATTAAAAACTAAATAATCAATAAATGGTATAATTTATGTTTTAATTATTTGTCATTTATTTAAATGAATACTAGATTTACTGACATTTAAGGTGATAGAGGCGGACAATGGCTTGACATATGCGGGAACCGATTGGTTAACCATTTCCAGTGATACGATTAACGTTGTGGGCAATGTTTGTATTAAATCACTGATTGTGGTAAACAGTGTCTCCAATCCCTCTTCAATTAAATGATTTAAATCTAAAACATTATAAACATAACTAAACATTTAATACATGGTATCAAAACTTTTCAATAACTATCTCTTTATTAATTATGGTAAAAATTTGATAAACTTTTTAACTAGCTTGATCTAACTTAACTTGATTCAATTGAAATATTACTTATACCTTCATATATCATGGCATTTGTTGTGAAAATCTCTTTTATTTCTGGCGTAACCATTGATGTTATCACAGATTTATTGATAATAGTCTTTAGATTATGTGTCAAATATTTGTCAATTGTTGGTGTGATTATCAACTCGAGAGCGCTGTACCACCAAATGCGAGGTTCTGTGCCTAAGATCGTGGATCTATCAAACTCTGTCCAACTGTTATGTCTATGCGATAAATCAATTGTTAATTGCATTTTAAATTTAAGAATTTCATTATTAATTACTTTTCGAGAAGTTTTAGCAAAACTATTGATAATAAGTTTGGCCTAAAGTTTTGCAGTAAAATCACATCAAATATATCTTTGGTTTTAGCGATCAGTTCTTCTTCTGTGGTTTGATTGCAATCCATATCCAGTAAAACAAATGCAGAAAATCCACAATTCTTTGTCAAAAATGCTCTCATAATTACCATTGAATTCAAATCTAACCACTCTTTGTCTGAACAAAACTTTGCGCTCAACCAAAACGTATTCTCCATCAGATGTGGTCTAATATATTGAATCCAATGACTATTAACCACATTATTATCGTCAGTATTTTCAGACAAATTACTGCTTTGCTTAAGATTTTCAATGAATTTTTCATTTAAATTAATTTTAAGTATTAATTTAGTGAATAAAATGAAACACGAGTTATGAATGTTATTGCGATTCTTAAACAAGAAATCATTTCTGGAAAATGAATTCTTAAGCAACAAATCGATGGTTTGATTCAATAGTAAAACAATGTCTTCAGATGTCAATTGTGTGGCCGAAAAATGATGGATAGTTTCGGTGAATACAAACTCATAGATATGGCGACGATTTACGTGATAATTGAGTTTCGCATTGCATTCAAACCAAAGTCTGTTCATATATAGCACCCAATAGTGAACATTGTTTGACAGCATTAAGTATGAGACGTGTTTTGCCATCAATTGATCCACACTTTTCTTTGAGATTTTTGTAAATTTATCATAATTTATATGCATTTTATTCAATCTACCGATTATGTAGTGAATTGTATTAAGTAATGTATAGTTTTGTTCAATAGTCTCGTAGCTGCCATCAGTAAAGTGATGGACAAAAAAGTCTATAACATTAGCCGATATGGCATAAGACAAAAACGTGGTAAACGAGTCCATACAACACAGATATTCATAATCGTTGAAATGACTAAACACTTGCGATACACAGCGCAAGATGTTATTGCTATCACTTAATGGCCGGCAATTGGCAAATGAATTACTATTAAAACACTGCAATTCACGTAAATCTGAATTGATTTTGTTGTAAATAGTTTTGTGAATTAAATTTACATTAATGGTTGACTCGAGAGTTGATTTCCAGTCAAACTCGTTGTCTGAACTTTCGAGACTCTCGGCGGTCATAAGACGGGGAAATTCCTGCCGTATTTCCCGTAAACTGCGGTCCCATTGAAGCATACATTTAATGATTGAGATTAGGTCTTCGGCACTGGTGTTGAGCGCCAATAACTCGGCGTTGAATCTGGTTTTTAATGCCTGAGTGTATGGCATCACCAGTTGATCGCATAGTAGTGTAAATGTCCCGAAATAGCCGTTTTTAAAGAGCCTGAGATCAAAGACAATCATTGAAACTAAACGTTTGACGAACTCATCAATTGGTTTATCACTCAATTCAATAGATTCTGACTCCAGTTTACAGACTCTTATTGTGTCAAACAATCGCCACATATCTAACCCCTCGCCTCCTCCGCCGCCGCCGTCGGGCGTCTGTTTGTCCGCAGACTTATTGCTCTTGAGATCAGATATATAGACTAATTATTGATTTTTACATGTTTTTATTATATGATATGTTTAGGCTATTAATACAATTATCAAATGGAAAATTTAAATTGTTATACAATTAATATAATATATTAATAATGACTGAAATAAATAGTTTTAAAGCAATTACAAGCGAACAGTTAGATAAGAGGTTTGTCGTAAACACTTATGATTACATTCATACACTATATGCACCCAAATAGCACTTTAAGCACACATTTTATGTCAAAATTATTGATAACTATTTTAATGATATGAATTAAAAGCACTATTTGTGAGCACTTTATAATGTATGCCATTATTTATGCACTTATTTCTGGAGACTTCCCGACGCCTGCGATTGGGAACTCCTGTACTCCATATACTCGGGCAAAGACATGTCAATCGTGTTGTCCACAGAACTGTCCTCCACAGTGAACGTCAGATTATCGTCGTTGTCATCGCTGTCCTCTTCATAGGCCGTCTCATAATCGGATTGGTGTCCACTCGACGACAGATCCAATTCGGCGAAGAGTTCTTCCAATTCTAGATTGCGTTCAACATTATTGAAAGCAATGGATTTCATTGAAAGACATTTGTTCCGCCACTCAGACAACTGTCTCTCGTAGCGCTTCCGTCGACACCGCTCTCGCCGGTGATCAGCGGCCAGTTGTTTGACAATCGACCGCAGCTCTTGATTTTCGGCCACCATTTTATCCAATTGTTGTCTCGTTGTGACCAACTCTCGGGTCATTTCTTGCCATTTTGGTAGCATTTGGTTCATTAGATCTGTTTTGCGATGGCATAACATTTAGTGATAATTGTCATTAGATTTGTACCGACTTTGTTCCTGTGAGTCCAGAATGAGACCATTGCCGGAGCGACACATGTCGTCAAACTGAGCGGCGAGCGATAGTTTAGTGGAGTGACCACTGGAGCCACCCGTAATTGGTTTTGGCCCGGTTTTGGTCGAAGAACTCTTCATTTCTATTCAAATAGATCCCAAATATTGTGATTTTAAAATTCAATTTAAATAACATTGCATTTAAAATATATTTCAAATACCAAATGCAAGATAGGATTTCATGTTTTAATACTTTGTAGTAATATTTTTTGCACACGATATACAGTAACTAATTAAATACTTAATAGACTAACACTAATTAATTGCATGCATGTGTGAATAGTGTACTCTAGGTCAATTTTGGTGCTATGACTCATAGGGTATGATGCATCTAGGTTATTTTATACATGTTCTGTATGTAAAATATAGTTCACCATGATGAATATTTGACTAAAACAATTAGACATTTCTCAATCATACAAAACACAGAATCGATTCATTGATTGACGAGTTATCGGATTTATTGGACACCAAATTCAAGGCCAATGGAAACGCTGGAAACGGTGACGAAACCAGTCTTAAGACAAGTAATAATAAGATGATTGACAGCATAGACATCAATACATTGCAGTCATCGTTGGAGACAATCGCCGAAATGCTTGAACGCGAAGATTGCGACCACTATTTTGAGTCACTCTTTCCGTTGATATTGAAATTAATAATAAGATGATTGACAGCATAGACATCAATACATTGCAGTCATCGTTGGAGACAATCGCCGAAATGCTTGAACGCGAAGATTGCGACCACTATTTTGAGTCACTCTTTCCGTTGATATTGAAATTGAAAACTGACATAAACTTTGTCTATTGGATCAATTCGGGTGACAATAAACCGCTCACCACTTCTAACGTTAGTCTGAACTCAATTTGGGAGACAATATGCTATAAGATGGAGAAAATGATCATGAATTCAGTGGTTAGATGTGATTACTATGCGAATGAGTTGGATGTGGAAAAAGTTTGCACACAATTATCATTTTTATCTGATCTCAAGAGCAATAAGTCTGCGGACAAACAGACGCCCGACGGCGGCGGCGGAGGAGGCGAGGGGTTAGATATGTGGCGATTGTTTGACACAATAAGAGTCTGTAAACTGGAGTCAGAATCCATTGAATTGAGTGATAAACCAATTGATGAGTTCGTCAAGCGTTTAGTTTCAATGATTGTCTTTGATCTCAGGCTCTTTAAAAACGGTTATTTCGGGACATTTACACTGCTATGCGATCAACTGGTGATGCCATACACTCAGGCATTAAAAACCAGATTCAACGCCGAGTTATTGGCTCTCAACACCAGTGCCGAAGACCTAATCTCAATCATCAAATGTATGCTTCAATGGGACCGCAGTTTACGGGAAATACGGCAAGAATTTCCGCGTCTTATGACCGCCGAGAGTCCCGAAAGTTCAGACAACGAGTTTGACTGGAAATCAACTCTCGAATCAACGATTAATGTAAATTTAATTCACAAAACTATTTACAACAAAATCAATTCAGATTTACGTGAACTGAAGTGTTTTAATAGTAATTCATTTGCCAATTGCCAGCCATTAAGTGCTAGCAATAACATCTTGCGCTGTGTATCGCAAGTGTTTAGTCATTTTAATGATTATGAATATCTATGTTGTATGGACTCGTTTACCACGTTTTTGTCTTATGCCATATCGGCTAATGTTATAGACTTTTTTGTCCATCACTTTACTGATGGCCACTACGAGACTATTGAACAAAACTATACATTACTTAATACTATTCACTACATAATCGGTAGACTAAATAAAATGCATATAAATTATGATAAATTTACAAAAATCTCAAAGAAAAGTGTGGATCAATTGATGGCAAAACACGTCTCATACTTAATGCTGTCAAACAATGTTCACTATTGGGTGCTATATATGAACAGACTTTGGTTTGAATGCAATGCGAAACTTAATTATCACTTAAATCGTCGCCATATCTATGAGTTTGTATTCACCGAAACTATCCATCATTTTTCGGCCACACAATTGAAATCTGAAGACATTGTTTTGCTATTGAATCAAACCATCGATTTGTTGCTTAAGAATTCATTTTCTAGAAATGATTTCCTGTTTAAGAATCGCAATAACATTCATAACTCGTGTTTCATTTTATTCACTAAATTAATACTTAAAGTTAATTCAAATGAAAAATTTATTGAAAATCTTAAGCAAAGTAGTAATTTATCTGAAAATACTGACGACAATAATGTGGTTAACAGTCATTGGATTCAATATATTAGACCACATCTGATGGAGAATACGTTTTGGTTGAGCGCAAAGTTTTGCTCAGACAAAGAGTGGTTAGATTTGAATCCAATGCTAATTATGAGAGCATTTTTGACAAAGAATTGTGGATTTTCTGTATCTGTTTTACTGGATATGGATTGCAATCAAACCCCAGAAGAAGTACTGATTGCTAAAACCAAAGATATATTTGATGTGATTTTACTGCAAAACTTTAGGCCAAACTTATTATCAATCGTTTTGCTAAAACTTCTCGAAAAGTAATTAATAATGAAATTATTAAATTAAAAATGCAATTAACAATTGATTTATTGCATAGACATAACAGTTGGACAGAGTTTGATAGATCCACGATCTTAGGCACAGAACCCCGCATTTGGTGGTACAGCGCTCTCGAGTTGATAATCACACCAACAATTGACAAATATTTGACACATAATCTAAAGACTATTATCAATAAATCTGTGATAACATCAATGGTTACGCCAGAGATAAAAGAGATTTTCACAACAAATGCTATGATATATGAAGGTATAAGTAATATTTCAATTGAATCAAGTTAAGTTAGATCAGGCTAGTCAAAAAGTTTATTAAATTTTTACCATAATTAATAAAGAGATAGTTATTGAAAAGTTTTGATACCATGTATTAAATGTTTAGTTTTGTTTTATAATGTATTAGATTTAAATCATTTGATTGAAGAGGGATTGGAGATAATGTTTACCACAATCAGTGATTTAATACAAACATTGCCCACAACTCTGATCGTATCACTGGAAATGGTTAACCAATCGGTTCCAGCGTATGTCAAGCCATTGTCCGCCTCTATCACCTTAAATGTCAGTAAATTTAGTATTCATTTAAATAAATGACAAATAATAAAAACATAAATCAATTTATCTGAATTTATTAATTATTTAGTTTTTAATATCATTACTATTGAAACGATTGAAAACCTATGGCTTCGCCAATAATGACAAGCATTTGGAGTCGATTCGCAAGTATTGCCATAAACTGGACCTCAGATTTCGGGACACTTTTGAAAGTGAGAAACATTTCACACATTTTATACCCGATATTAAGGCCCGAAAACCCGAGA